GTGTGTGTGTGTGTGTGTGTGTGTGTGTGTGTGTGTGCCGCGTTGCCCGGTCAGTTAGTTTCCAATCACAATATATGGCCCCTGAGATCGGAGGGTTCAAATCCATTCTGACACAGTTGCCCTTAAGGATGCCAACCGCGATATAAGACCTCTCAGGTCGTGGGTTCGAATCTCTTCTGACACAGTTGCCCTTAAACAGATGATATTCAAATTGTTATACATTTGGGGATATTTCTAATATATTAGTGTGCATGTCTTAAACCCAATAAACACACAAAGGTATAACACAAAATGTCTAGCCAGGGTGCAAACAAAAAAACAATAGCCAGAATATAAAAACCTTAACTACACCCTACCCTATGCTAGTAAACATCTAAAACAAGATTGTTATAACACATACATATAAGTGTGTGAAAAAGTGTGGCTAAGACTAACATATATATTTGATAGGGTTGTCATACTCGACCCAATTCTAAGGATCAACAAATTCTACCGTACACCACAAAATATAAGAATTTACGCAAGTAGAAGCTTTAAAGAATTCGATCTTACATATGGTTAAATTTATGGATACAACAATCTCAAAATAAGTTGTAAGACATGATGAATATTAATAATAAAAAATATTTTATATATATATATATATATATATATTAAAAATAAGAATTTAAGAAAACTTATAAATTAATTACTCATAATTCGAAATCTATATTAATTTCAATCACATATTTTTTATCAAAAAAGAACCCATAAAAGTATTTTTTTTCATTTTCATGCCTAAACTAAGTGAAAGCGGAATCCCTGTTTTTACAAAAACAATCTATGGGAAGATGTGTCCTTGCATATGGCTAGTAAATTATAAAATTTTCTTACTATCATGTAATAATCTAACTCAATGCTCTAACCCATGTATCTCGATCTTATATAAGTGAGAATTCTAATAAACCATCACATTTCCTCCCCAAATGAAATCATTTTCAATCATGAAACAAGCATATAGTATGTCCAAAATCTATAGAAGAAATAAATCATTGAAACCTGTGCATCAGGAATGCGCCGACATAAATCTCGAGGAGATCCAACAGACTAGAAGATGGAAAAGTACTGCTAAGGAGGGTCCATTGTCGGGAGACCAATGAACACACTTGATGCAACCCCCTGAATTAGGGCTGGAGGCCGATCAGATGTATGCCACTTGAATCAAATATTAAGGCCAATCGAGCCGAGTAGAGATATCGATCTGCTTATCTCTAAAATCCAACTTAAAATTCAATATCGCCAGCCATTTCATAACGCCCATTTGATTCCACATAAGGGGCCAATAATTGGCAATAACATAATCTACGAACATCCCGAAGGACACCTGATCGTCATGATTGAACAATCTATCATATTACGATGATTCACTCTCTTCCTGATAGCCTAATTTTGCTCTACAAACAAGAGCTTATCATCCAGTGATCAATAGTCGACACTATACTATAATATATGACTGACAAAGCCAAATTGATCAAGTCGAGGCCTACCGACCCGAGGACCATCAAAGGCCTGCCGACAACCCTGATTCGACATAGTCGAACACCAGATCTTACCGAAGCAAGACCCACTAATTTAAACCGACCGAGTCAGAGGGTAGCCGAGCCGTAAGCCCAAAAATATAAAATACCTACAATATCCCGTAATAATCCCACTAAAACAGGAGCAAGAACATGTAATTTCACTATATTGTATCTTTTTCTCTATAAATGAGAGAATTAATTTATGAAAAATGATGAATCAACAAATCAAATTATTATATCATTTTTCTCTCATAATAGGTATGATTGATGAGTAT